TGGGATGGCCAGGCTTTGCCCACTCTCCTTACACAGCCCAAAGTCCAGGTAGAGTGGAGCAGAGGCTGGAAGTTGTGTGCATCTATCTGTCTTTGAATGTGTTTGGGTTTGAAAACAGACTCCGAGTTGCTCACTCCCTTGGCAGACCAGGCTAGGTGCCTGGTAGACGGCTTGAAAGGAGGACCCTAGCTTGTAACAAAACGTAATGGGGGTGACCAGGCTGGATCCCCACCAGCGGCACACTGACGGAAATTTCCAGAGATATTTCTACCTCCCTCACATCTTTAATTTTTCAAATGGACCTCTCTCCAGTTGCCAGGTTAGCTCTGCTGCCAAGGCCAGGCGAATGCTGGCAGCTCCCCAGGGAAGTATTTTAATCTCCAGCATCAAACCAGACCCCTCTTCCATCCGCCATCTGCCTGTCTCCAGCCGCCTCCATCCAGGGAAACCAGGATGGGGCTGAGGGCCTAATCGGATCACAGCTCCGAGCTGTGCACTAATCAGATTGCTGTGCAGCCTGGCCTTGCCAGGGGAGACTTCAGACTCCAGTCTGAGCCTGCTCAGAGTGCCCGACCTCCTCCCATCTCAATTGGAAAGGAGTGGAGGTGAGTCTGGCATCTCAGGATTGCTCAGAGGTCTGCTTTCATCCAGCTCCTGTCTGTGACCTTGAGAAAGCAAAGCTTTCTCTCTGGGTCCAGCCTCCTGTACCCTGAAGTCAGTAAAGAAATCCTTTCTCGGGCCACCGTTCTTGAGCCCTCTTGGTATTTTATAAGGTGGTAAACAGCCAGCCACCACATTCCTCCCGTGTCAAGTGGCATCTTTCCCGGGGCCCTGCTGTTTTGCTTCCAGGGAGAACAGGTCAAACTTCCCCAGAGCAAGCTGTGCAGCTGGGTCAAAGGTCAAGAGTCAATGCCAGCCATTTGGCACACGCAGAACAGACTGCCAGGGGGATTGTAAGGGATTCAGAGGCTTGGCGAAAATTCTGGGTGTGTTTTTGGCAGCAGCTCTGGCTCTAAGGGAAGGGCAGAAGCTGAGGGGAGGGAGCCCGGGTAACACCATACCAGGTTGCCCCAGTGACTAGGAGCCTACAGTGACTGCTTTCTTATTTGGGGACTGTAAGCAGTCTGGGTTTGAGAAGCCAACTGTGGCCATCCTTTCCCTGTGACTTTACATCTACAAGCCCCTCCTGTTTGTTTGCCTGGCTGTCCATCTTCCCCCAGGCAGAGTCACCCTTCATAATTGGAGTGTCTGCCCTGGTGATATGAAACCACACAGCCCAGCCTCAGCTCAGGTCCTGTTCTGGTGCAGGCAAGCCACTTCTGCCACCAAAGAAGCCACTTTTGCCACCAAGGAAGCCACTTCTGCCACCAGGAAGCCACTTCTGCCACCAGGAAGCCACTTCTGCCACAAAAGCAGCCACTTCTGCCATCAAGGCTGTTTCATGGCCTGTATTTGGAAGTCAAAGATCGAAGTTCCCCCTTTTTCTTGGATGACCCTGGGTACGGGTATGAAGTCTGAAATGCTAACACTACTTTGATATCATAAGGGAGGCTCCCCTGGGCATGTGTTTTTATGGAGCACTGCCTACTAGAGAAATGAAACTGGGACCCAAATAGCTCAGAACCTGTCTGTTCCCTTCCGGATTGTCTAGACTCAAGAGTCAGTGTTCAGACCACACCACAGTTTGGACCTGCAGCTCTAGCATTCTTAAGCCTTGGCGTTCAGGTCCACATATTGTCTACCTTCAAAGAAATAATTAAATGGCTTGGTTTCAAAAATAAAGCAAGGCCGGAAGTAAAATAAATGCCCATCTAAGGCAGTTTTCTCTGGACATCCTTGAGATTGGAGGGTACCTCTGAACAGTCCTGATGGCTCTTCTCACACAGCAAAGCCCTTAGCTGCTGAAGTTATCTTTTTTTATGGCATCGTGATGGTGTAATACAGGGCCTGTCCACCTGGGAGCGCTGCTTTGTACTCAACACTGTGTGACCTCTGTGGGGCAGTAGCCACCATCCTAGAAGCATTTTGAATTGAAGCTGTACCTATCTCCATCTCTGCGAGAAGGAGACCCGTCTGAGGAAGACACTGAGCTGTTGCTAATGTCCCCCAGCAGGAAGGGCAAGATGGTAGTAGCTCTGAAACTCCAAGCTCAGCCACTTTCCTGGGCCTGCCCACCCTCCCCTTCGTTTTCCCTCCCCCCTCCCACACTCCCTCCCCAGCAGGTGCACTGTTGTAGGAGAGTGGGCAGGCTGGGCTTAGCTGTTTCAGTAACCATTTTTTTCTTCCCTCTGTGTTTTTCCCCTTCGTAGGTCACACAGAATAGTTTCGAAATCTCTATTCCCAGCATGCATCTGTTTCTCCCTTTGACTTTTTAAAGCATCGGTCATAAACATTTCATTGTACATCAACAGATTCTGCTTTGGTTCAGGGGAACAACCTGTCACATAGTCAGCATTTTTTTCTACTATAATTGTTTTTAATTTTTCAAAGAATGGCTATCCGATGTGTGTCCTCTCTCATGATTTTTGCCACCTCTGTTTTTCTGTCGTGTGCAGCCTTGTTCTCCAGGTCACAGATCAGACTCGTGACTGTATCTAACCTGCCTTTTGCTGTGAGAGGAGGAGACATGGGAGTCTTGTACTCAGGTTTCTGGAACCGTCCTGGGCACCCACCTTGTGCCCATCTCATTCTTTCTGTGACTTCTTGCTATATTCTCACTGGGCAGAGCCCGGGCTCTCCCATTGTTCTGTTTCCTGCCTTTGGGCTCTTCTGGGTGAGTCATCCTCCCTGTCATTCCAGGCCTGAGGGTGTGCAGGGCCTTTACCACCTCCCATCTCCATCTCCCTGCCCTGCTCTTTCCTAGTCAGCAAACTCAGTGCTGGCTGAATCCTGTGACCTGGCTCTGCCCAGGTCACTGCACTGGCTGAATCTCCTCTTCCTGCAGCAACTTCAGCCTGCCTCAGAAGTCTGGGACTTCACCCACTTGGCTCTGGGGGAAGGCCTGGCCTGTAAGCAGCATGATGTCTTTACAGAGCCACAAAATGGAAGAAATGAGCTAGGAATCCCAGGACCTGCTCCCCACCCCCATGCCTGCCCAGGGCCTCAGTAGGCTGCCCTGCCCCCTACTCCTGTCTTCATGTTTACCCTTGTCCATAAATCAGCCTGCCCTTGGTGGGGATGGGCTTCCCAGTTGCTGTAGCTCCAAAAGCATGATGGGATGTTGCAACCTCACTGAGTTCTGTGAGGAGACCTGGGGTCTCTGAGAATCACTGTAGTTCACTGGAGGCCATGGTAGGCTCCCTGATCTCTCTCCAGGTTCCGTGTTTCCAGGTAGTGCCTGTGAGTGAGGCCTGTGTGTTTGTTTCTCTGTGTTAAATCTGTCTTAGTGAGAACTTACAGAGGGTTTCTTTCTTGAGAACAGTTGTTAACAGTCACAAGTTCAGGGTTTTGTGACGTGTGTGTGTGTGTCCATCCCCTGACTCTCTTTCTTTCTTTCTTTCTTTCTTTCTTTCTTTCTTTCTTTCTTTCTTTCTTTCTTTCTTTTGAGAGAGGAGAAAACCACAAAGCACCTGGTGCTTGTTTCCCATGCTGGAGCCTGAGGAGGATTTAACTCTGATTGTTGTCAGCTGTATGCCACAGGGTGAGGGCCATAGGTGGCTTTTGCTGCCCTCCCTGTTTGGTAGAGGTCAGCATCACTGAGTAGCAGCAAATAGGCTCCCGGGTACTGACCCAGCAGTTGAAGGCACTGGGTCAAACCAATGTAGAGGGCCACCCAGCCCCACCCACGAAGGGTGAAAGAACCTGCCTTGGGGGACACGCAGCTTGGGAACAGGCTCTATGTCCCACAGCCAGGGTCCCCACCTCATATTTGGTCATAGACACCCCCCCTTTTGCTGGTTCCCTTACAAATGTCTAACAGGAGGCTAGGCTCCATGTCAGGCTGTCCCCCTCTACTGTAGGGTTAGAAAGATGCCTAGCCCCAAGCCAAGGCATCTGTCACAGGGCATTTTCTGATTGTGGGTTAGGTTTAGTTTGGTTTGGGTATTTCCCTTGCTCCCTCCGTCTTTAAAAAATCTGTTTGAGGGTTGGTGAGATGGTCCAGTATGTACATGTTCTTGTTGACAAGTCTGACAACTTGAGTTCATTGAGACCCACAGGTGGAAAGAGAGAACTGGCTGCCTCAGGTTGACTTCTGGCCTCCACACATGTTCTGTGGAACTGGTGCCCACACAAATACACATGTGGACAGACACGTGCATAAAAATAGGAAGTATAATTCAAAGTCTTACTATGATGCTTCAGGGGCGGGAGATGCACCTCGGTTGGTAGGGTGCTTGTCTCACTTGCGTTAGACCCAGAGTTTGATCCCCGCACATCATAAACCAGGTGTGCTGGCTAGTTTTAGGTCAGCTTGACACAAGGTATAGATAGCAGAGAGGAGGGAACCTCAACTGCTAAAAAATAAAAATAATGCCTCTATTAAATCAGGCTTATGCAAGTCTGTAAGGCACTTTCTTAATTAGTGATTGATAGGGGGGAGCCCATTGTGGATGGTGCCAACCCTGGGGTTGATGGTCCTTGTTTCTATAAGAAAGCAGGCCGAGCAAGCCAGTGAGCAGCACTCCTCCATGGCCTTGGCATCAGCCATGGCCTTGGCATCAGCCCTGGCCTCCAGGTCCCTGCTCTGTTTTCGTTCCTGTCCTGGCTTCCTTCAATGGTGGACTACAGTGTGGAAATGTAAGCCAAATAAACCCTACCCTCCCCAACCAACTTGCTTTTTGGTCACGGTGTTTCATTGCAGCAATAGAAGCCCTAATTAAGACACCTGGATGGTGGTGTCTGCCTGGATTCCTAGCACTTGGGAAGTGGAGGCAGGAGAATAAGAAGTTTAAAGTTATCTTCAGCTCCATAGCAAGCCCAAAACTAGCTTTGGGTAACATGAGACCCTGTCTCAAAAAAAAAAAATCACAATATAGGCAACCTCTCCGTGTTTATTGTAGGCTAGCGACTATCTCAAGAGAATAGCCAGCTGGCTGTAAACATGGCTGAGAATGATCCATCCTCAGAGCAGCAAAGGACCACATGGACACTAAGCTCCTAAGGTAGGACTTACACCAGAAAGAAGCATCTGCCAATGCCGGTCCCATGAGGTACCAAGGAACCCTCTCTCCTGCAGGCACCTCGTAGATACGTAGGAGCGGTGTGAGGAATTTTGGAGAAGCAACTATGTACCCTGGTTGGTCAGAATTGTCCTCAACACATTTTTTTCTGGAACACACAGGTTCCCCATGCCACCAGGGAGTCCCCCTGGGGGCCAAGATGAGGCTGAGGAGCTCCAGGAGACAGTAAGTGGAAATTAGTTTATGTGACTTGAGGCAATATTTATCAAGTAAGTTAACTGGCTCATCTTGAAATGCACAGTTGTGAGGACATCTGCCAATGCCACTGCTGCTGTAGCTCAGGTGCAGGCCCTTTCTGGACCACTACCGGGCCACCTGCCCTGCCCTCCCAGGTTCTCATGGCTCCTGGTGGTGGTTAAGCTTTCTGTTTGTTACAGTCTGTGTCCATTTTCGGGAGGAGGCACTAGATAGTCTGAAGCTTGGGTCTATTGTGAGCGAAGCTGCAGTCGGTCTGTGTGTGGACCTGTTGAGGTTCGTGTCCCACCTGTCCCACTGGGGGACACCTGTCCCACCCGAGGCTGTTGCAGGTTTACCTCCTGCCTGCCTCATCCCCTCCTTACTTCTGCTAACTGGCTTGTTCTTCTCTTATAGGAATCACCTGGATAGGAATCACGTGTAGGCTAGCAACCTCAGACCCTCTGGGGTCCAAGGTCTAGGAACTAACTGTCAAGGGCTGGTGAAGCAGACTTAGAACTCTGAGCCCTGGCAAGTGGGCAGGGGGCTGTTATTCCAGGGCCTGGAGATTATTACACTGGCCTCAGCAGGTGTTGTCATCCTCAGCGTCCAGCCGTTCTAAGAGAACACTACCCAGGTGTAGCAGGTGGCTACACTAGGGTTGCGGCATCCAATCTCTCTGTTCCACATTGACAACTGGTCCAGACCTGAACTAGCTGGAATCCTTGCTTTAGTCTCTCCCTAGGACTTTCCCAGAAATGAGGGTCCTCTGTTCCATGTTTTCGACTCTTCACAGCCCTTATCTCCATCCCTGCTGCTCCCTGTCATTTCTGCCCTGGCTGCTCTCTGAAACACCAGTTGTCCTCTCATTGCTTTTGCCCCTGCCCCTGCCCCCACCACTGCTGCTAGAGATGCTGCCCCTGAGTTGCTGGCTCAACCCTCTCTACTAATGATACGGATCAAAAGTAGGCAAGTAGATCATTCCGGAAAAGCCTTTCAGGGACCTAATGATGCAGCAGCAAGAAACAGCCCAAGAGGGTGTCCTCCCAGCTGGCTCAAAAAGTGAGCCAAATAGCTTGCTTGTTTGTTTCTATTGGGATGAGAGAGAAGTGCTCTCTGCTCTTGGCCTGGGGAAAGATGGTGGTGGGGTCATCTGGAGCAGGGCTTTTAAAACTTTTTCTCACACACACACACACACACACACACACACACACACACACAGAGGTAGAGAGAGAGAGAGAGACAGAGAGACAGACAGACAGACACCACACAGTCACATACAGGGACACAGACACACAGAGACATACACACAGACACACAGATAGACACAGACACACAGATAGACACAGACACACAAATAGACACAGAGACACACACCACAAAGAACCCAAACCTGTGACTGTTAATGATTGTTTTCAAGAGAGGTTTAGCAGGACCCTGTGTAAGTTCCCACCAAGTTACCTTAACCTGGGTGTATAGGTATATTCAATAGGTAGACAAGTCAAACATGTATCTGGGTGTGGTGGCACATGCCTTTAATGCCAGCACTCCAAAGGCAGAGGTAGGTGGATCTCTGCAAGTTCAAATCCAGCTTGATCTACATAGGAAGTTCCAGGCCAACCCAGGGTCACATAGTGAGACCCTGTCTCCCAAAAACAAAACAAACAAAGAAAATACAAGTCAAACATGTACTGATTACAAATAATAAATTATATTTTGAAGTGACTTTTGGTATACATGTAATTTAACAGTTTATTAAAGAAGAAAGAAAATTTGCATGCTGAGATGATGTACTCATTTATTCCTATGTAAAGAACTGTTGATGCGGCTAGTCCTGCTACCTCCTGATTTGTCATATCCTACATGCTTGAGCTGCTGGTCCCACTGGCTTGTCTGGGCTTATGGCCGGACCCTGTGGACAGCTCAGTGTCATGGGCCTTTTTCCTGATTTGTATTTTAAACACAGAAGTGCCAAGGCTGCCGGCCCTGCACACTGCATTGTGTGGCCTGTCCTGGCTCCATTAGCTAATTATGCCTCTTATCATCTTTCATTTGTAGAAATAGAATTTGGCTGGATTCTCCAAGCTCTTTCAAGTCACAGTGACTCTCTTGTCCCTCGTTTGTCTTCCCTGCTGACAACAGATCTTGTCCCAGTCTTCTTGGCCCCGCCCTGGTCTGCCCCCTCCTGGAAAGGACATGGTTGCCCTTGATTTGTGCAGGACTGCTTTTGTATTTGTGAAAAAAAATGCTGGACAGAAAAAATGGAAGGAAGGAAGGAAGGAAGGAAGGAAGGAAGGAAGGAAGGAAGGAAGAAGGAAGGAAGGAAGGAAGGAAGGAAGGAAGGAAGGAAGGATTTATTTTGGCTTGTGGTTTCAGAAGGTGCGCCCTACCATGATGGCAGGGTGGCTCACATCGTAACATCTAGGAAGTAAAGAGCATATCTGCACTGTGAGATTTCCCCCCTTCCTCTTTTTTTTTTTTTTTAAAAGATTTTATTTATTATATATACGACATTCTGCTTCCATGTATATCTGCACACCAGAAGAGGGCACCAGATCTCATAACGGATGGTTGTGAGCCATCATGTGGTTGCTGGGAATTGAACTCAGGACCTATAGAAGAGCAGTTGGTTCTCTTAACCTCTGAGTCATCTCTCCAACCACCCTCCTTCCTCTTTTATTCTACCCACACCCCTATCCTATGGAGATAGGATATCTAGGGTAGAGATCAGTTAATCCTTTCTAGAAACACTCTTATGGACACTCCTAGAAACATGCTGTACCAATCTCCTAGGCAATTCCAAACCCAGATAAGCTAACAGAGAAGATTAACCATTGTAGCAGAGCTCAGCTCCAGCCCTGAAATGAGGGACTAGAAGCAGAATAGCACCTAGGATCCTTGGGTGACCATTGGAGTCTTTGGACTTGTTCAGCCTGATGCAAAATGAAGCAGAAGCTTCCTAGTTGAGGCTCCTGGTTTTCATGAGCCAGTGACCTGAAAGCTGGGTTTGGTGTAGGAACTATGAGGCACCCCCACAATCCCTGGGATGTCTGGTCATTTTCCTCAGGGTGAGATGTTCCCAAGCACCATCCAATCTGAGCCAGGTGACAACTGATGAGTACCATCAGCGGACACTCTTACTGGTCGGGTCTCCATTCCAGTGTCTTTCCAGATGGATGGACTTGGATGGGTCTTGATAGAATTTAGGAAAGCAATCTATCCCCCAATAAATGCCTTTTGAAGATCTGAGTCCTTCAAGTTGTACTTGCCTTGCACCAAGGAGGACCTATCAGGTAGGGTTGCTGACCCAGCATATTTGTGACCCTACTTCTTGGCCCTGGCCTTTCCATAGAGCCAGGCTTACTGGCCTGGGATTTGTGACCTCACTCTCCTAGCTATGTATGTCCTTCCTGTCGAGCCTGGCCTGACATCCGTATCACCCTTAAGCTCTGTAGCCCTGGCTGAGAGACCATGGCAGAGTTGGTGCCTCAGTGCTTCCTCTGGGTGACTGTTTTCCTAAGAAACCAGGAAGGCAGCTGGCAGCTGGGAGAAGGCTTTGTCCTCTGGGGGCTCAGATAGGATTAGTGAGAGGACAGACTATTAGAGGAAACTTCCAGATGGCAGAGGTGTAGCAAGAAGGTCGCACACCCAGTTAACACAGGCCTGTGTTACCAGGATATTTATCCCCAACAGGACAGTGTGGTCCTATACTTATGACCACAGTGGCAGTAAATCTCCACCATGTGACATGATGCTGTCCTGGAGACAGCTTCTCAAGGTCCTCAAGGCTCAGTATGGGATAAACCTCTTATGGGTCTCCTCCACCAGCTGTCCCTATATCCAAAGTCTCTGTGAGGGTTGGGGAACAGGGACCAGTCAACTGGGCTTTGCTCACGTGGCCACTTGGCTTGCCTGTGGCTCCCCCTGGACTAGGGAGTAATTTTCATTTTTTTTTTCTGAGAAGAAAGGGCACCTAGGGGATCCTGGTGTAATACCACTCTTCTTGAGTTCTTTTCCATAGGAATGGGAGATACTTACTAAGACACATCAGCTTTGAGCTGCCGCCAAGCCACATGGACCTTGGAGGTTAGGAGTGAGGGTCCCACCCTTTCCTCCCAGAAAAACACACAGCCAATGCTCTGAGAACCGTGGGACCCTCACTGACAGGCAATGAAGCTCCATGACCTCAGGAACTCCATGAGAAGAGGCATTTCTGACTTCATGGTGCCCTCCTTCCAGAAGAGTATGAAAAAATTCTGTTTTTCAAATGTGTTGATAAAGAGAACAGTGTGTTAATATTATATGTGAAATAATCTCTTTGACCTAAATGTTCTTTTTTTTCTCTCTCTCTCCTTAAAATGCTAATAGTAACTGCCACCCTTGTGAGAGCATGGTGGCAAGGGGAAGCAAAGGCAGTGGTGAGATCTTGGAGACAATATAGGTGAGGAATAGAACATGGGGGTATCGTGATCCACATGGGAAGCGAGACACACAGCGTAAGTGTGTGGGGAAGACTGACAGGCCAGTGTGTGACCCATGGAGGGGGTCAGTCCCTGAGACTTGCTTCCACACAAGGTATTAACCCTCACCTAGGATCAAGAGATCTCTGTTTGGACCTGTTGTCAGGTGGGCAATGGCAACCTCCAGGGTGTGTGTCTGGTTGAATTGCAGTGCTCCTACCTATGTCTATCCTGTGACCCAAGGCAGACCCATGGCTACTTCTACAGTGAGTTATCAATTGGAAGACTGCTTCCCTGACCCTATGGCTGGCTGGCTGTTTGTGCTGGGCCCTGTGTTCCCTTCTTCCTCAGCACCACCGCTGCGTCTCAGGTGTTCCCTGAACACCTGCTCAAGTCCACCCCAACTGTGATACTTCAGTGGCACCTTAAACCTACTCATTCAGACATGATCGTGTCTACCCATGACTGCGGCTGCGGGAGGAAGGAGAGGAGGGTCACAGTCCTGTACAGATCCCAGGGGACACCATGCCTGCTTCTGGCCTCTGGCCCAGCTGAGTAGTGTCACCGCTTGGCTCCAGGCCACTCTGCAGACTCTCTGGACTTCGGCAGCTTCCTTCTCAAGGGCAGACGTGGGAGCTGTTTCGGAGGTGGCACAACCTTGAGTGTGTGTGAAGGCTGCTGCACACAGCAAAGTTCTGCCCCTGGTGTGAGGATTGGGTGGAGGGAACAGGGGAAATGAGCAGTAAATGAGGGCGCTTGAGGATGCTTCTGTTCTGGAAACTATTCAGAGATCCTTTCAGGACTAGTTTGCAAACCATGGGCACCAGTAACTATCACAGTGGGAGATAGGGCCTTAGCCATATCAAATCTTTGTCCAGCTCCTCCTGTGAGCCAGTGCTCATTCAGTCCTTATCTGCCCATTCATTCATTCATATTCATTCATTCATTCATTCATATACATTCATTTACTCATTCATTTATTCACTAATTCACTGATTCAATCATTCATTCACTCCAATTTTTTTTCATTCTATCATCATGCATCCTTGGAGCTGCCCTGTATTGAGGCAGACACATCTGAAATACAAATGACTCAAGCACAAAATGGGTTCCTGTCTGGTCAATGTCCAGTGTGGGGAGTGCCCCAAACCCTCTCCATCTTGCCCATTCTCTGTGTGTCCCTGAGAGAAGGTGGGCAGAGCTTAGTGGGGATGGCTACTTTAAGGGATGTTAGATGTTCACAGAGCATTTTCCCCTGTGAAGTCTGTCATGTTTCAGTACACATTTCAGTTTCATAATAAATAGACGGATGCTCAAATATTGCATTGCTTCTCCCCCAATGATAGACTTTGTGTAATTATTTCTGTCGTCAACCTGAGTTGACACAGTAATTGGGAAACCAGCTGGATACTGTTCATAAGGAAAGTTAATTAATTAAATTTTAAACTATTTTTTATTCCCTTCCTTTTTTAAAAAAATGGTTAAAACTAATTAATATATGTGTATGATAAATTTTAAGCAGGATAAAGGTGATAAAAAAAACTGGAGACAATCTTTCTCTGCCCTATCTTACACATGTAGTCTTTCAGAAAATGATTTTCAAGTCCAAAGAGTGTGTGTAGGAGAATGTATGAGCCCACACAAATAAGTTAAAAACATCAATGAGATCACACTATGTAATACAACTCTGTCTCTTGACATTGAATAAATAACAAATTGGAGAGCCTCACACATTAGTTTGACTAGAACCTAGCTCCTTCTTTTGAACTTTTCCCATTTTTTCCCAGTGGGTTCCTGTCTGTTACTGGGGAAGAGGTATGAAACTTTTTTATGTGGTTCTGTCCTTGCTTGCTTTCTGTGTTTGGAGCCGTGTTCTTAGGTACATACAGGTTTATCACCATTCTTAACTGGGGAGCCATTCTTGTAATCTTCAACCTTCACAGTGCCGTCTAGGTTGAGTTTGGAAGTAGTCATAGTGCTTTAGCAGTCCTCAGCTGGGTAGTGTTGCTTTAATAAATCTTCACCTTTCCATTTTTCCCAGTATCACCATATCCTGTGTATCATCTCTTCCAAAGAACATGTTTATAAAACAGTGTGGGTCATTTATGTACACCACTGTACACAGTGCCCAACCCCAGGCAAGAGATGAGGAAGAGGGTTCTTCTGTCAACTCCAGGCAGTAAGCGGCAGCAGTTTTCATAGATCCTTGTAGCTCTTCACATAATTTTAGGTGCCTAGAAGACCTCACAAAATGCCTTCATAAAAGGCCTGCCATCTGCCTGGCAGGATGGAGCAGTGGGTAGAGACACAGGCGGGCCTCTGAGTGCTGCAGTGATCTCAAAGTAGATGGTCCTTCATCAATGAGCTATTATACTTACAGATTTATAGCTTGATGGATTATTGGGAGTTGGTGGAAACTTTGGGAAGAAGTAGGTCATTGGATGTGTGTCTTTGAAGGACATGTCTTGTTCCCAGCTCCTTTTTTGCTCTCTCTACTTCTGGTTCACTATGAGGTGAGCATATTTGCTCACATGCTCCCTGTCATGATGATCTGCCTGTCCTGGGTCCAGAACTGTGGAGCCAGCTGATGATGGGTTCAATTAAATCTTTCCTCCTTGAAGCAAACTTTTCAGGCATTTTCTCACATGGTGGATAATGGCTAACACATTCTGCCACCCTCTCTCTTCTCTTCAATTCCTTCCTGCAAATTCTAGCTCCTTTGGCCCCATCAGACTTCTAGCTCTGTCTAGCTCTGTCTCTAACTCAGCGAGCCCTCCTCTGTGCCTTGCTTCTGTGCTGCTTTGGGCCAGGGAGGTTGCCTCTTGATGTAGCCTAGGGGACCGATTGGTCTCACCTCATTGTTTCCAACCCCATGGCAGTCTCTGTTCAGTGTTGCCTCTTGTCCACTGTCTAAGAGATTGTTCATATACTTTGTCCAGATTTCTACTTGTTTAATGAGAGCGTAAATCTGGACCCAATTATTCTGTTATGGCTATTAGTGGAAGTCACAGTTTTAGTTTAACTACAGACATTTTTGTCTTGTTATTTTTTTGAAAGATAATTTCATGGAATAATGAATTCTCAGTTAAAAGTTATTTTCCCTCGGTCCTTGGAAAATACTATTTCATGATTTTCTGTGTTGCTGTTTAACTGGCACTTAATTGCTATTTAATTAAATTACCTTTGATTTCTCTCTCTGGCTGCTTCTAGACCCTCTTTGTCTTTGAAATTTTTCCAGTTTTGCTTAGACGTATCCAGGTGTGGCTTGTTTTCTCTTCTTGGAGTCATTAAAGTTTTAGGATCTGATTGACACGTGGGGCTTTCTTTTCTCTCCCTCCGGCTCTTAACTCTCACCTCTACTCATCCCACCTGCTTTCTCGTTCTAATTCATGCCAGCCAGGATCCTTGATCCACTAAGTGCTACCTCTGACACAAGGTATTTCTCAGCTCCATCCCTCTGTGCTGTGGACCAGTGGCTTCTTCAACTGTGTTGTTTCTATTTGAGTATGAAATATCTCCCACGAGTTCATGAGTTTGAATACTTGCTCCTCCGCCAAGTATTTGTTTTGGGAGGCTGTGGAAACTTTAGGAGGTCGGTGGCATGGTCAGCGGGGTGCAGGACTTATGGGATATAGCCCAGCCTTGCTTCTAGCTGAGCAGTCTGGCCTCTGACTAGCACTATGATCAGTTACTTCCCTGTCCCATTGTCAGAGCCACAATCTGCTCCAGCTGCCATCCTTTCCCTGCCAGGGTGGACAGTAAGCGCTCAGCTATGAGATGGAAAAAATCCTCTCTGTCTTGGGTAGTTTCTGTCTGGCATTCTGTCACAGAATGGAGAAAGTGACTGATACACAAAGTTCAGGGTTCATGTGCATCTGTGTAGAATTTGTGGTTGACCTATTCATGGGTTTCAAGTCCATCCATCCTTTTCTTAGTCCTGATTTTGTGTTTGTATCTGCCTCATTGGTTTTGAGGGTCTCATATCTATCTACTTTTAGTGCCTTCTCTTATTTCTTTATTTTTTTAGACAGGGTCTCATACATCCCGGGCTGGCTTTGAACCTGCTATGCAGCAGCTGGCACAGGCCATCATACTCACTTTATGTGGCACTGAGGATCCAACCAGAGGGTTTCGTCCATGCTAGGCAGGAGCTCTCCCAACTGAGCCACACTCCCAGCCCAATACCTTCTCTTGTTTATTAAGCATCTTTCCAGAGGGCACTGGCAGCTTAGGCCACACTGAGCCATGTTCTGTATTGGGTTTCTGGGAGGTAGTGACTCATGCCGGCTGTTAGAGCAGGCTCTCTGTTTCTGTTTTTAACTTTTCCTGACCACTTAGCTGCTTCCAAAGCAAAGGTTTCCTCTGAAGGTATGGTGTTTCCAATCCAAGTGTCTCTACTCAAGGTCCTTGTAGGATCCCGGCTCAATTCTTGTCTTTTGAAATCGGAGAGCTTGTTCCCAAGAGTCCTTGTACCCCTGAATTCAGTTTGCTGTAGGTGTTTTGGGACCCCACAGATTTCTTTGCTCACAGTTCCTCAGTCATGCTTTAGAAACTGGGAACAGCTTGTCTGCCATGATGATTCAGGGATTCTCTGTTGGAATGGCTTGTCTGAGAATCAACTCCTCAATGGAAAAATGGATTATTTCTAAAAATGTCCTTTCTTCCACTTACCCCCTGTGGGGATGGTGTAGAGAGAGGTGTTCTGCCCTGGTGAGGTAACTAGGGGCTTGCTAGGGGTGGGGAGGACCCTGGACCTCTGTAACATTATTGCTCTTTGTTCTCTTCGCATGTTGGACAGTGGAACTCAAGAGGCAAGGTAGTATTGGGGCTGGCGTCCAGACCCAGCAAGAGGCCATGCGCTCTGCCTGCTTCCTGATGAGAGGCGGGACTGGATGGGAGCATACCTAGCCATGCCTTCTACTAGACCTTAGGTCAGACCTGGGCTCCTGATGCTACAATTTGAAGCTTGGCACCAGCCTGTCCCTTAAGAAGCGCTTGTGCACCTCACCCCAACCTGGGTACCACAGGCTGCAGCCATGCCCAGGATGTTGCGTTCTGGGCTTCCAGGACAAAACCCATTTCCCTGTTCCCATCGGGGGACTCCTCCCCAGGTGTCCACTTGAGCCACCTTAAGTGAAGTCCATAAGGATTTCTCCCTAATGTTTGTCGTTGCGACCTTCCTGTCTCTGCGACATTGTTCTCCTTCCAGCTACCAAAGCGCGTAGCCGCGCCTGCTGCAAATACGCATGCTCAGAGCCCTGCTCTGTTCTCATTAATTATAAAGCCATGCTGGGAGTGGATCCATGGGGTTCTATGCAGGGATGTCACCAAATGGAAGGCAGGCCCTGGTCAGGAAGAGTTGGAGGCAGCACCTGGTGGGGCTAGGGGCTCTGGCTGTCCTCACCGCCATGAGGTGGTTGTATGTGGTGATCTTTGCCAATAGGATCTGATTCATAGCCTGTCTGCCCTTGCTTCATTCAACTCTGTGTTCTGGCAGTTACTAAGCAAGGCTTTGGAGTTTTCTACGAAATTATAAATGTATCTATCCCCTTCATATTTTGCAACTTCACTCCCTGTATTTTGAGAATACTGCATGCAAACTGGCTCAGCCATGCTTTTCTGTAGAACAACCGTCCTAGTGCACCAAGACTCCCCCCCCAAACCCCCCCCCCCCCCATCTCCCAGGGCTCCCAGCCCTGCTCTGCCCTGCTCTCCTTTCACACCTCTCACACCTCTTTGTCAGGACACATGTCCTGTCCAACATAATCTCAGAATCCTCACCTTTTATCTGAAACATGGTTCTTTTGTATTTTAATTAACTACATGGCTTAAACTCAAAACCCTACTCTTTGTTTTCCCCACATGTCCTTTCTTTCTTTCTTTCTTTCTTTCTTTCTTTCTTTCTTTCTTCTCCTCCTCCTCCTCCTCCTCCTCCTCTTCCTCCTCCTCCTCTTCCTCTCTTATTCCATGGTTATCCTCTTGGATCCAACCAGTTATAAATCATGATTCTTCCAGTGGTTACCCTCGGGATAGGGTAGGAATGGCTTTAGTTTAGTGTAAATTGCTCCTGTCATCTCAGGCCAGGTTCCTGAGGACTGTGGGCTCTTCAGAGGCCCTATCTAAACCTACCCCCGTGCACTAGTGCTCTCATGTGTTTTCATTTCACTGTCCCCTCTGGGGTTTGCCTCTGCTTGCCTCTTTGTTTTTCCTTGCTTCACCTCTCTTCTTCACCCAAAGCTTACTTGTGAGACACTTTCCCCCCTTCAGAGTGGGATCTCATTGATGACACAGTGGTCTCTTCACAGCGGCTCCTCCTTTGCCTTCATTTGTTGATTTTTTT